GCTCCAGACCATGAGTACAACTTCTCTTGCTACCCTCTCCCACCCTTTCCACCCATAGGACATCAGCACTCTGATGCCTTGCCCAGTCATCCACCTTCTATAGCTGCTCTTTCAACCAATAACAGTTGTAAAAAGCATTTTTTTTCCAGAGCATTTTCACTTTCAATCTTGTTGAAATGTTCTCAGTATTTAACATACTTTCTAGAAGATAGCTTTTATCACTCTTTAGGCTCATAAAAATATAGTACCCCAAAGTATCTAACTTGCTTCTCAAGATAACCCTTGCCTTATACTTTCCTATCTTCAATTTCTAGCACAGTGACTGCACACAACAGATGATCAATAAATGACAGCTAGTCAGTTCATCATCAGCAAAAAGTTGTCACTTCCCCAACTGGAGTCCCACTGAATGATTCATAAATTTTTATACAATCAGATTATTATTTCTCTCATCTTAAAAAACTAACTGTAGTTGAGTAAGTAGTATTGTACTGATGTTAATTTCTTAGTTTTGATAAATATATCATGGTTATATAAGATGTTAACATCTGGGGGAGCTAGGTGAAGTGTCACGGGAACTCTGTACTATCTTTGCAACTCTTTTGTAAATCTAGAATTCTTTCAAAATAAAAAGTTTAAAACACAAAACAAACAAAAAACAACCAATGGATAAAAAACCATGGAGTACTCTTGACCTTACTTAACTTTCCAGCTACAGCAGATCCCATTTTTCTCCATCCCTTTATAGCAAAATTCTTTGATACTATTATTCATACTCATTCTTTACAATTTCTTTCCTTCCAATAATTCTTAAACCCACTCTAACTTTTTCATTCCCACTACTCCATCTTATCAAGATCACCAGTGACCTCCAGTTGCTAAATCAATGGTCACTTGTCAGAACTCATGTTTCCTGTCACACAAGCAGCATGACACAGTTGACCAGCCCATCCTCTTTGAAACATTTTTTTAAATATGACTTCCTGATACCACACTCACCTTTTTTTCCCTCCTACTTGTTTCTTAGAGCACTTTCTCCATCTCTTTAGGAGTCCCAAACCTCATCAACCCCCATGACTCAATGTGGGTCACTGACAAGCAGCGGCAACCTGACAACTTGAACATCAAAACTTTGACTGCAATGAACGAAAACAATCAAATATATCAAAAGTCATGCGTTTATAATAATACTTAAAAAAAAAAAAATCTGACCAGTCATTTGTGGAGGTTGCTAGGGTACCAAATCACAATATGCTAACTGACAAATAAAGGGAAAGAATCAAGCATTGATCTTGCCCTCCCTGTACAGACTCATTTCAGGGTAATCAAAGTCAATGAGGGAAAGACCTGTATAGAAGAATCATAGGTAACAGAAGCAGAAAGACTGATAGAAATGGAAAGTGAATCCTTAATGAAATAACAGATCTAGGCAATAGATCAACAATGGCTAAACAATTAGGTGGAAAGCTGATGAATTATATTGGATGGATCAGGCTGACAAATGCTGAATTGATGAATCTTAACAATACTAAAAGTGGGACAGTCAGACATTACCTGCCTCCTCATGTGATGCAATAGGAAGTATACACCATCTATATTCTTGCAAAAAAAAGATCTTCAATCTGAATCTAAATAAGCTCCAGATCTAATTACTAGTTTACAGGAAACACAGAGAATAGAGGGTCGTGATAAATGACACCCTGAGCTACAGTCAGCTGAATTAAAAATGGTGGAAAGTCTACACGACAAATGGCCTAGTTTCTTCAACAAATGAATGATGGGGTGGCGGGGGGCGGGGAGGGGCGTGAGGAGAAGTGTCTATATATGTGTGGGGTAAGGGGAGAGTGCCATACATTAAAAGAAATTTAAAATACTTGTCAATCAAATGCAATGTGTAGACTTTGAGGCAATGGGGAAAAACAAAGCAGAAGGGTCTTAGAGGATATTGTGCTGAGCATGATGGCAGCATTGTGGTCGTGTTACAGTGCTCTATCTCTTACAGATGTACACGGAAGAAAACACAGGTGACACAATTTCTAGGATTTGCTTTAATATACACCAGCAGCAGTTGATAATCATTGAAGCTGGCTGATAGATTCACAGGAATTCATTTTACTATCTTTTCTACTTTGGCGTATGTTTGAAAATTTTCATAAGATTTTTTAAAAAAGGATGGGCTACTGACCAGAACCAGGGGCCCAGGGAACATCCTTATCACCAAGCTCTGCCCCACCTGCAAACACTCTGTCGATAAGGAAGTGCTCCGTGCCTTGTAGAAAGCCCCTTTGACGGTGAGCTATTTGGGGAAGGCCAGGTGTTTGCTGTTTTCTGGTGAGCACTGGTGCTCATACTAGCACTTTAAATTTGAGAATCGCATACATTGGGTAAACCTATTCTGGAGTAGACTGTGAAAGAGTCTCATGTTACAAGAACTACCTTTTCACAAATTCTTAGGGCCAGAGGATCTTTAAAAAGTCCTTTAACCCAGCTCATCAGCTCTGGGCAGGCCCTTTCACCCACTTAACAAATATTAATGAAGTACCTATTATGTGCCAAGCACAGGGGATAGGGCGCCGAACAAGACAGCGCTTCACCTGAAGCTTACAATTTAATAGACCAAATCTAAGCCATCCAGCCCCTTGAAATCTTTTCTGAACAGGACAAGGAATACCAAATAATAACACACACACGTTAGTGCCTCTCCATGCCTGGTGCTCTGCTGAGAACTTTATATGTATTATTGCACTTAATCCCCAGGACACAGGCAGGTAGCTCCATTTTACATGCAGCTGCAAGTTTCTGTGCCACTTGTAATTATAAACTGAGGCATGAAGCAGTCAGGTGACTTGTTTAAGGTCATCCACCTAGTAAGCAGCAGTGCTGAGATTTGAACGCAGAGTCTGGCTCAAGAGCTTTCTTATCTACACTCTCAGCCACTACACTGTAAATTCCATGCCACCCTGGCTGGAGCTGGCTCATTTTAAGTACCAAAGAGATCCTGATGGTCTGGCAGGCAAGGGCAATAGGGCACTGATGGCCTGCAGACCAGAAAATGCTGTTCAGCATTTAGCACCAGGAATGAGAGAGCTGGAAGGAACTACTCCAGGCAAAAGTCATGACCTGGCCATCGCAACAGCTTACAGACGGTGAAAGTTGAGCCAGTGGCAGGGTGGCAGGCGGAGTTGGGATCTCCAGGGGCCCCTTGCTCTATGACAAGAGCAGGCACACAGGCCGTGGTGTTGCTGGGGCAGAGGGCACCGGGCAGCACCTCCATGGTCCCATCCCATGCTGCCACTGAAGTTGCTCCCCCTGTCCTTCCACTATCAACACAAAGCCTAGGGGTGGGCGCTTTCTCTGCGCCTGGTGGGTCTCCTCCCCTGCCCCACATCCCTGAATCTCCCTGGCACCGTGTTCATAAGCCTCTTGAGTACTCAGCCCTAAAGCCCAGCCCTCGGCCTGGACACCTTGGGGCCAATCGATGAGCCAGGGCTCCTTGTAGTGGCCCAGAGCTTCTCACATTCCCTCTCACCTGTGATTCACTGATGATCACTTTCTTGAATGGACTCTGATATTCCCATCAGGTCAACGGCCCCTCCCTTCCTCCCACTGAATTCAAATCTAGAATTGAAATAGCTGACAAATGATTTCTGCTTCAAACGTGACAAAACACAAAACAGGGCAGAGGTTAGAATGGTGATGCAGACCATCTTCAGGTCCTGTAAATCAATGGTGTTTTAAGCCCAGAAGTCCCTGCCACCCTGCAGCACAAAGATAAGAAAGGGCAATCTGTCTTTTCTCATCAACTTAAGAATAAAGTCTCCTTCAGCTGGAGCTCCTGGGTTTCCAGCACTGATATGCCCTTCTTCCCAGGCTCCCTCACCCTCAGTGTTCTCCGAGCAGACAGCCTAGGGCCAGAGTCTGCTCCACACAGATAGGACAGCCTGCCCTCAGTCGGCCCACTGGACTTCTACATTTTTAAAGATCTAAACAAAGACAGACAAGAACTACAGTCTACAGTACTTTCTACCAGTTTCACTGAAGCAACCTTGGGGTGAGGCTCCACCATTCTCCACCCACTCCAGAGACTGCCATCCCCCTACTCTAGACATAGTAAGGAATTAGACGTTAGTTGCTTTCTTTCATTCAACAAATATATATGTTAAGCAGCTGCTGGCATCAGCAACAACTCTGTAAAGAAATGAAATAAAACCAGAGAGGCAGGATTTGGAAACAGCTCTATACCCCCTAATCAATCCTAAGCAAACTTCCATAGCCAGCCAGCCAGCCCAGCCATTGAAGGCAGATTCAACATGGAACACAACAGTCACCAATGCCTTTGTCCCAAACAAGAAGCCATCTCCTACAGCATTAAGGCAGGCAGCCAAGTCACAGAAAGGGTTTCATTTGAGAAGAAACTAACCATTTGGGGTACATACTGAGGACAGTCATTAATAAGAAAGCAAATATGGCGGATATTCAATTCCCAAAGCCAGTTTTCCGACCAATTTTCCATTTTCAAACCCAACTTGGATGGTCCACAGAAGTAAGGCTACAAGCCATGCTAAGGTAAAGTAAGACATTAAATATAAAGAATTTTCAAAGTAAAACTACTAAGAATGTGTTTAAAATGTGTTTATTGAACGTAATATATGAGTTGCTGTCAAATAATTTAAAGACAGCCTATATTTCACACACAAACCACATTTTCACATGATTAAATATATGATTTTCCCCCCTCAGGGCAACAGAAAAATCTATATTGACTAATTCATGGTATATCATGAGATAATGAAAGTTATTAATAAAAGAAAGTCAATACAGTAAAAAATAGTTTAATCAACGCAGTCTTTGTAAAAAGTTGACCTTTCAAGTCTGTCAGCTAGCTTTTTCTTTTATTCGCCATCTGGTCACTTGGTTCCACAGCCTTAAAAAATAAGGCAACTCAAGCAGAGGCAAATTTTTCTTGCCCCAAATAGTTTAATATCTGTTATTGTCCTGAGTAGATCTCACATCTTTCTCTTTTCTGCCTCTTCCCATTCCCTACCACCACTTCTCAAAGCAAATGTGTTCTTTGGGAACATGGCTGTTTTCTAGTTGCTTGGAGAAAAAGTCTGTCATTGGAGGTGGGCCACATATATAGAACAAAGTCTCTTTTGAAATATGATCTCTTATCTCTTTCTCCATTATTCTTCCTTCTGCCAAAAAATAGAATAAACACCAAATGAGGCCAGACATGTTTGTATTCTGACATGAGGGAGGACTAACCACAACTCAGCAATAGTGTGTATTTTAAGTAACTCAAGCTTAGTGAGTCTAGTCTTGAACCACTGGCAGGATGGCTCCTGTTGGCACCCGTGTTAACATGCAGCCAAGACCCAGGCAGGCAGTTCATTCCCAGGTTTCCAAAACCTACAGCAAGGAAGTGGGAAGCTAATCCCAATGTACTCTTCAAAGAGCCAGACACAATACTGATCTTTGGTGGAGATTCGAAACTGCCTTCAACAAAGTAAATAAACAGTTTTGTAAAATCCTTCAAAGCAGGGGAAACCACGAGCAATTTAAATTATCATTAATGGCAAATGGAATCCATTCAGCTAAGGCTAGAATATATACTCTCTGTATACATACTACAGTGATGATTCAACACCCCCTAAAAAATGAGAAAAATAAAATTTTAATATGGGCAGTAGAAAACCTGTATATAGTAAGTAAATCCCACTAAACTTCTTTCTTTTTCCATGATGAATCATCTCTCAATTCCCCAGGTAGTGACATTCCCAGCCAGCAACTCCCAACAATAAAGCATCTACACTCAACCAATTGGCATGTCCACCAAATAACTGTGTGGAGATAGACAAAGTATCTTTAGGGGACTCACCCGTGATGTATGGCTTGAGATCTGCACTGATTTGTGTAGTCTGTTTTGTAACATGCAAACTGCATGCAATCTTCTCAGGAAATTCATTTACTAAATCGAGAATATTTTTCTGGAATGTCAAACATATCTGGTCACACTACAATTTAAAAGAATCAAAACAGATGTGCACAACCACCGATGCCGAACCTCGACTCCCATTCAGCACGCGTCTGCCACTCTTGCTCTCTACTTAGAGATATATTGTCTGCAGCCTCACAGGCCAAAGCATTCAGAGTACAGAGGGCTATTTGGCTTTAATTGAAATCTGAATATGCTAACAAGCATATTACCAACTCTCCGGGAGTTTTTTCTTTTTCCTTTTTCTCAAGCATTGGCAATTAAGCAGCAGTTTCACTGACCACAGTTGTGTCTTTTAACTGTTTCTGTTCTTTTGTTCTTGTTCTTGCAGCTGCAAAGCAATCCAGAGTGAAAGCCTTCTCCATCAAATGTACTTAGTTTGGCAGATGCAACTGATGGGGATTTCATTTACCCAGTTGGGTCCAAACTACCTACATCTCACCTGCTCCTGTGAGATAGGCGCCTACCAGTAGGTCTCTTGAGTCTTTATGGAATCCAAGCCCACCAAATCTACCCTATCCTGTCACTTGACTCGAAGCCTCCTCACCACTAGCTGTTTTAATCGTGTAAGATGTGATGGTTAACTCTCATCTGAACATGATTAAGCATTGTTAAGAGAAACAATGCTTAAGAGAAAACAGAACTGATACAAGAAAGTTTTGTGGACAATTAATACCATCACCCAAGTTTGCTTACGGCAAGCTATGAAACATACGTTTCCCTCGTCCCCTTACCTTAAATAGGAGTTCGCTGGTATTTTTTGCACTGTAGAATAGTTTTATTGTTCCTATCTCGAATCCACTTCCTTTATTTGCCCGCTCTCTGAGGAGATCTGCCGAGTGCCGCAGGATGGAAAGCAGGGGGTTAATTCCTACTCCTCCTGCAATCAACACGAGGTTTCTAGAAGCATCTGTGGGCTGAGGGTCAAAGAAGAACTGTCCACCCACTCTCAGGGCCACTTCAGAGTCAAGTGTACACTAAGGCAGGAAAGAAAAGATCCTTTAGTCTTTTCTCCACAGTGCAGATCTTCAACCAAATATGCTTCTTTAATAATGGGTCTACCTCCTGCATTTTTATCAGTATTTAGGACTGTTTTTACACCTTGGCTCCCAACTGTCCCTGGGCCCCATGAATTGATTCCACTTGCCCATTATATAGGCCATTTGCTTCCCCACCTTCTTGATCCATACTGCATAACCACTTCAGTATTGAGAAAAGGAGACTCGCTTCAGTAATTCTGCCATTTGTTAACTTCTTGGGTAATGAACTGGGTTTAGGAAAAACGCAATGGACTCAGGCAGGGGACAGCTGTGAAGTATGGCTTTCCTTTATCTGAGCGGTGCTCCTGTGTTCTGATAAAAGCCATGGATGCTGTGGGAGCTGAGAGGCAGGGTGAGGCAAGGGTCACTATACTGCGGCTGCCCTGGGCTTCTCAGGGCTGAGGAGTATGAGCACCCAATCCCCCTGCTGATCCCCAACATCCTCACAGCAGACTTGCTCCTCAGGCTGAGACAAGCAGCACAGTGCTGCGCGCCTCCCTGGGGCAGCAAGAACAGGCCGCAGGAGGCTCCACACTAGGGTGCAAGCATTGTGTATGCCTCCCAGGGAAAGCACTTACGGTGTGGTGTTTGTTATATTAACTATGAATTTCATTTCAGGATAGCACTAAAGGGGAGTACTGGATCTGACAGAGTTAAGAACCCCCAGTTTGGAGGAAAAGGCACTAATCTAGGAGCCAGAACACTTAATTTTAATCACAGCTCCATTATTAATTATCCCTATGAAATCCAGCAAGTTCCTTAACTTCTCAGAGCCTCTGCTGCCCCATCTGTAAAATGGGTAACAGCATCTGTCCTGCTCACCTCATAGGGCTGTTGTGGGAATCACATGGCACCCTGTGGGGGAGGAGGGGAAGCTCCTGCCAACATAAAGCTCTACACAAGACAGTATTTTGGTCATTGTGGCCGTCATGGAAGAAAAAGCCCTGAGGGTGCCCGCTTCCTTCTTCCCTGTCACTAAAAAACAGACTCTAGGAATAAAAGAAAATTTATATTGAGAACATAAGTTTGATTCCATTGTTCCTGATATAAATCAATTCAATAAACTCCCTCCTAGGAAGTCACAATGTATCACAGGCTTTTGTGGGCCAAGGCCTTCACGTTGGCACCATGGCACCCCACATGGCAGGTGAACAGGAAGTACTTTTTGACATGAATTTCATTTGGGGCTCTACAACTTGAAAGAAGAGTTATACTGAGAAAATCTAAGAAGGAAATAAAAGTTATGTGAATTCACAAAACAGGCACTTTTGTTAAAGAACTGTTAAGTGAACGGAAATCCTTTCTCTGAGGGGGAAAAAAGTCTGAGCTTAACTATTTTAAATACATAGGAGATTTTCACATGAAGGATGGGTAAGTGGGTTTTCATTTTTGACAAAGAAATTAGCAGCAGGGAACATTCTGTTAGGAATAACTAAATTCTAGGAATTGCTACACTGCTACCGAAGTGCTTTACTTAAAACACTACTTCCTTTCAAGTCTCTGAAATAGAATCTAAGATACAAGAAGCTCTGCCTAACAATGACAGTGGATTTAATCTCCCTATATCCTCTCCTGTCCTCTCTTGTTTGCCTGCACTTCTCTATCTATAAGAAGCTAACAGACTGAGAAATGAGAGATAAATAATTTTCTCTAGTGGTCATCTTTGGCATGCTCAGTAATGACAACAAAGAAAGCCTTTAGGTTATTGTTTTTAGAAACCAGAGTATTTTCAACCGTAAAGTTGGCAAGAAAATGTGCCTCAGGGAAAGATAATACTCAAGAAGCCTGTCGTTTCCTTAGCGACAAAATAATCTTCAATAGATCTATCTTCTAATTTGCTAGCATCTGGAAAGAATCAAAAGCCACCTTTGTCTTTTGTTGATCAATAAAACTGCCAGGGCAGCATGAAGACAAGACTCAAAGTACTGCACAGTATAATATATAAGTGACTAAAAGGACATTACTTCCAATTATGCAGCAATGTATCTAATTTGAGTATAGATTTTCTACTTGTGAAACGAACAACCTTTCCACAGCAACTGCAGCCCAGCACACAATAGCTGTCTAGAACCCTTTACCCTGGCAGGAGCTTGAGCCAAAGCAGATAAAATAAAGGAAGAAGTTTATGGCACTTTATCCCATGAACCAGCAGAGCAGCCTGCTGCCACCCGGCCGCTCACGTGCCTCCTTTGTCCACTCTAATAGCTTAATAAGACAAATTCTCAGGAGGAAACTAGCCACCTGAGAATGGTTCCAAGAAAAATCTGACTTCATAAAGGCTGTCTGCAACTCCCACTGGGCAGTGTAGCGCAGGCACTACAATTAGTATACGCATTCAAGCAATGCCACTTTGAGATTTTCTACAGCTTTTAAGAATAATTCCTTCATTGAAATGCCAATGAGGCATGAAACCAAGCAGGGAGCTGTGGACCAGGACCAGGTCAGGTCACGTGGAAGGCTGAGGGCAGCTGAAGAGGACTCACAGCAGTAGGGACAGGGATGGCTAGGCTCACCTGAACATGTGCTAAAGACTGAGCAAAGGGCATGTGGACACCTCACTGGTCCCACCCCAAGCAGCATATTTTAGAGACTCAGAAAACAGCATACAGATAGTAATGGATACAAAATCCACATAGAATCTAAAAGGAAATGAGGCACCTGAGGTCATACCTAAGGAGAGACTCAGAAGGTTGGAGAGTAAAAATGTGACAGGCTATATTTAGAATGGAAATGCCAAGGTAAGCACCTGGGGTCATCCTGAACAGATACAACTTGACACATACACTACAAGAAGAATATTTTTTTATACTACTATAGATTTTTTAAATTTTTATTAAAATTGACTTTTTTCCTTTGGCATATAATTCCATGAATTTTTTAAAACATATATGGATCCATGTAACTACCGCTGTCTTAGGCTGGGTTAACAGTGTCTTCTGCAGAGCTGCAGAGCAAACGTTTTTAACTTTGATGAAGTCCTATATATCAATTTTTCTTTTATGGCTCTTGCTTCTGGTGTTGTGTTAAGAACTCTTTGTCTAGCCCCAAGTCTTGAAGATTTTTCTGGTTTCTTTTAAATATTTTATACTTTCATGTTTTACATTTAGATCTGCATCCATTTTGAGTTAGTTTTTGTATACAGCATGAGGTTTAGGTCTAAGTTATTTATTTTGCTTTTGGATGTACAATTGTTCCAGCACTATTTGTTGAAATGGCTACTCTTTTTCCATCGATTTTCTTCAGTACCTCTGTCAAAAATCAAACGGCCATATTTTTGGTGATCTATTTCTGACCTCTTTATTCTGTTTCATTGATCTATGTCTATCCCTTCACTAGTACCACACTGTTTTGATTACTGTAGCTTTGTTTTAAAGTCTTAAAATTGAGCAATGTGAGTCCTCTCACTTTATTCTTCTTTTTCAAATTGTTTTAGCTTTTCAGTTCCTTTACCTTTCCATATAAATTTCAGAATCAGCTTGTCTACATGTTTTTGTACATAAACTACTGCTGAGATTTTGATTAGTGATATGTTAAATCTATCAATTAATTTGAGGAGAACTGACTTCTTTACTACGTTCAGTCTTCCAATCTATCAACACAATGTGTCTTTCCATCTATTTTGGTCTTCTCTCATGAGATTGAAATGAGTTAGGTTTTTTTTGGATCAACTATTTGCAAGAAGATTCCATATGGGGGGAAGGAGCGGGGATGGGTCAAGATAGTATCCTGAGCTAGCTGGTTTTCATAACACAGAAGTTCTCTTCAGCCACTATGAGGACATATTGCTTCCTACAAGCACGGCCTGTCTATGTGATTCGCCACGTACACTGCCTCCTGAGTGAACCTAACCGTGCTGAGGTGGGATTTCCACGGCCACTCGCTCAGCCATGTTTCCACACCCTCTTTTGCAGATAAGGGCTACAGTGTTTGTCCCCCAGCCCCCAGTGTGTATTCTCATTTGTGCTCTCTGAGATCTGCTACTGCTGGGCTCTCTTCTGTACTTATTCCCACGTGGCTCCTACAACTATTCTCTGGAATACTGGCATCTGTTTCTGAGTTCTGCTGAAAATAAAACTGAAGTTTTTGTTTTGTTTGCTTTTGTTGATTTGTTATGACTTCCAGGAAAAGAATAGAAAAATGCTGAGTTCATGAAGCCATATTTGTACTGGTCCATTCCTTTTTGGTAGAGGTGACAAGAAATGCCTGGGATGAGATAGAGGTCATTGGTAAATACAGAAGACATACTCAGACGTGAAAAGGACGGCAGTAAAAAGGAAACAAGCGTCTCCAAGCAGAATGTTCTGACTCCATTCTTTGTTATTCTAGTTCTAGTGGGTGATGAACAGGCTGCCTATCTACAATTGTGTTGCAATCTGCGGTGAAGCATGAGTTATGAGCAGCAGTAAATGTGGATTCCCTCTCAGAATCCCTCAGAGAGAGCTCTCCAGGGACTAAAAAGGACAGGCAATGACATCACAGATTTAGCACCAGCAGTGTTATGGAATCAGAGATATTCCCATACAAAATAATGACAGAAAGATAATTTAATTCCTTTCATTTAGGATGGCTAGGATGAAATAATCTGATTTATAGACTTACCATTTACATGACCTACAAAGGGCCAATTTTTAAAAACTCACATATAATATAAAATGCTTTAATTCTAAAATAATATTCAACAGTTGATTTCTGGTGATACAGAAGATAGTTCCAGATCCCAAACTACCTATAAGTCATCCTTAATATATCAAAAAGATTCTACTTCTCTGACTTTTCTGAAATCTGAATTCTGGATGTAGGGGAGCTATTTGCGAACATGTAGCCTTTTCACTCAAGCTTAGGTTTCTTAGGTGGATCAAGTGAGCTGAGCACAAATTTTGTGGGAGGCAGAGGCAGTAAGATCTAAGTCTAAACAGGAAGTTTGCTCACCTGATTGTGAATCCAGAGAGCAGGAGGGTGGTTTGTGTATTTCACTGCCAATTCTATTATTCTCTCTTCTTCTAGCAGTCTGGGGCTGGAGCATATTGAGAATCCACCAACCACAGAGACTCCTGGGATAAAGAAATCAACCCTAAAAGAAAAGGCAAATAAATGACTATTGTTGAAGCAATCTTAAAAACGGGCAACAAGTTAAACAAAATTGACAAAACTTCAGCTACGCCGATCAAGATAAAAAGATAAAAGACCAAATTACTAAAATCAAGAATGAAAGGGGGGAGGGACATCACTATTAACCTTAAAAAACAAAAAAAGATTTTAACAGAATTCTATAAACAGCTGTGTGACAATAAAGTAGATAACTTAGATAAAATGGACACATTCCTAGAAAGACACAAACTAGTAAAATTAACTCCAGAAGAGAAAACTTGAATAGACCTATAACAAGTAAATGGATTGAATTCGTAACTTTAAAACTCCCCATTAAAAAAAGCACAGGCCTAGATGAGTTCACTGGAGAATTCTACCAAACATTTAAGAAATGAATACTAATCCTTCACAAACTCTTCCAGAAAACAGAAGAGGAAGTAACACTTCCCAACTCATTCCATGAGGCAGTATTACCCTGATACCAAAACCAGACAAAGACATCACAAGAAAAGAAAACTACAGACCAATATTCCTTATGGATAGATGTAAAAAGCTCTGGAATACAAGGTTTGCTTCATATCTGAAAATCAATCAATGTAAATACCTCATTAACAGCATAAAGGCCAAACCACAAGATCCTCTCAATAGATGCAGAAAAAGCATTTGACAAAATCCAACACCAATAAGGAACAGGAACTTTCTCAACCTGATAAAAGCCATCTATGGAAAACGCACAGCTGATATCATACTTAATGGTGAAAGATTGAAAGCTTTCCTCCTAAGAACAGGAACAAGACAAGCATGTCTCTTTTTGCCTTCTATTCAGCAATGTACTAGAGGTTCTAGCCATTGCAATTAGGTAAGAAAAAGAAATAAAAGGTATCCATATTGGAAAGGAAGAAGTAAATGATCTGTATATGCAGATGACATAATCTTATATATAGAAAAATCTAAGCAATATACTAAAAAACTATTAGAACTAATAAACTAGTTCAGCAAGGTTGCAGGATATAAGATCAATATACAAAATTAATTGTATTTCTATAAGCTAGCAATGTATAATCCAAAAATGAAATTCATAAAACAATTCCACTTCAAATAGCCTAAAAAAGAATAAAATATTTGGGCATAAATTAGACAAAAGAAACATAAGACTTATAATCTGAAAACTACAAAACACTGGTGAAAGAAATTACAGACGATAGAAATAAATGGAAAGACATCCCATGTTCCTAGACTGGAAGACATAATATTGTTAAGATGGCAATATTTCCCAAATGGATCTATAGATTCAATCAATACCTTCAAAATCCCTGTTGCCTTCTTTATAGAAATTGACAAATTGATCCTAAAATTCACATGGAAATTTAAGGGACCTAAAATTGTTAAAACAATCTTGAAAAAGAAGAACAAACTTAGAGGACTCACACTTCTGATTTCAAAACTTACTACAAATCAAAACAGTGTAGTACTGGCATAAGGGCAGACATACAGGCCAATGGAATAGAATTGAGAGTTCAGAAATAAACTCTCACACATTTATGGTCAAATGATTTTCAACAAAGATACACAGTTAATTCAATGAGGGAAGAATAGTCTTATCAACAAATGGTGCTGGGATAACTGAATATCCACATGTAAAGGAATGAAGATGAACCTATATCTCAGTATCACATAAAAAAGTAACTCAAAGTAGATAATATACTTAAATATAAGAGCTAAAACTACTATAAACTTAAAGAAGAAAACAGGAGTAAATCTTCCTGACTTTGGGTTGGCAACAGTTTCTTAGATATGACACCAAAAGTACATGTGACGAAAGAAAAAATAGAGAAACCAGACTTCATCAATATTTGAATCTACAGATCCATTTGGGAAATAATGCCATCTTAACAATATTATGTCTTCCAATCCAGGAACATCAAGAGTGAAAAGACACCCACAGAATGGTAAAATATTTGCAAATCATGTATTTGGTAAGGGACTTATATCTACACTATATAAAGAACGCTTACATCTCCATAATAAAAAGGCAAATAACCTAAATAAAAAAATGGGCAAAAGATCTGAATAGACATTTCTCCAAAAATGATATATAAACGGCCAATAAGCAGAAGAAGAGATGTTCAACATCATTAATTATTATGGAAATGCAAATCAAAACCACAAGAAACTACCACTTCATACCCACTAGAACGGCTATAATCAAAAAGACAAACAACACCGAGTGATGGCGAGGATGTGAAGAAATTAAAACCTTCATACATTGCTGGTGGGAATGTAAAAAGGTGCAGGCAGTTTGGAAAACAGTTTGGCAGTATCTGAAAAGATTAATAATAGTTACTAGAAATTTCATGCCTAGGTATACACCCAAGAAAAATGAAAACGTGTACTCAAAACATGTATGCAAATGTTCATAGCAGCATTATTTGTAAGAATCCAAAAGTGGAAGCAGCCTAAGTGTCCATCAGCTGATGAATGGATAAACAAATGTGGTATATACACACAATGAAATGAAGTACTGATACATGCTACAACATATATATGAACCTTTAAAACATTATATTAAGTGAAAGAAACCAGTTGCACAAAGAGCACATATTGTATGATTTCATTTATATGAAATATCCAGAATAGGCAAATCTATAGAGACATAAAGTAGACTAGTTGTTATCTAAAGGTGAGGAAGATGAGAGGAGGTAAGGAATTACTGATAATAGGTTAGTGTTTCTTTATGGAATGATGAATATGTTCCAAAATTTGACTGCAATGAACCGTATACCTTAAGTGTGTCAATTTTATGATATGTGCATTATATCTCAATCTCACGACCCATTCATTGCCTTTGAGAGTCGTTTCTGACTCAGAGCAACCCTACAGGACAGAGTAGAACTGCTCCATACAGTATCCAAGGCTGTAATCTTTATGGAAGCAGACTGCCACATCTTTCTCCTGAAGAGTGATTGGTGGGTTTGAACCACCAACCTTTCAGTTAGCAGCTGATCAGTTAACCACTGCACTACCAGGGCTCCTTATATCTCAATAAAGCTGTTTAAAAGAAAGTAGTGCAAATAAAGGGAGGGCAGAAAGGAGGACAAATATCTTTTACTGGCAGTCGCCAAATCAAATAGGCTGATGTGGCCTTCTGAGTTCCTAAAGTCTCATCCTGTTTCCCTCTTTTCTTCTAACCATACTCCTATAGTGTAGAACTCTTGGTTTCAAAACAAAACAAACAAAAAAAAAACCTGTTGCTGCTGCGTTGATTCCAACTCATGGTGACCCTATAATTTCAAGTCTTCATTAAATCCATCCCACAGAAACCCTTTTATTTGATGAGGATTCTAGGAATTGCGACAAACCTAGTCACATACCAAGGAAAGAAAAATTATTAGAATCTAGGACCACAAAACATTCTCATCCTCTTATCTAGGAAACTCAAATATCCAACCCAGATGTCTGTCAGCCATCAAAGACCAAAAAATAGCATTTTCCCCAGTTGTTTTCATACCCACAGTCTTACACGAAAAGCACAAGATGTTCTCTACTGATTTGATCTATGACCTCAAAAGATGTTCTCTTCTAATCTATGCCGTTAAATATCCAGTCATTTTTTTATTTAAAAAAAGAAAAGCCAGTTTTGGATTGAAGTGCTCCAAAAAAGTCCTGTGATGGTTAAGGTTATGTGTCAACTTGGCTAGGCCATGATTCTCAGTGGTTTGGTGGACATATAATCATCCTCCATTTTGTGCACCCAATTGGTTGGAAGGGGAGTTTCCTTGGGGGTGTGGCCTATATCCAATACATATGGATGTTCTGGCAAAGTTCACCCTCTCTGGATCCTGTATCCAACTCGTCATCCTCTGACCTTTGTTCTTGGGATGTAAGCCAGCAGCCTGCTGTCTGACCTGCCAGTTTTGGGTTCATCAGCCCCTGCAACCATGTGAGTCAGGAGAAGCCTCCAGCCTGACAACTGACCCACAGATTTGGGACTTGCCAGTCTCTACCAATACGTGAGTCATTTCCTTGAAATAAATCTCTCTCTTCCTCCTTCTCTCTCTCTCTTTCAATCTCTCTCTTTCTCTCTCTCTCTCTCTATATATCATCACTAGTTTTGCACCTCTGGAGAACTCAGCCTAAGACCGATCCCTACTCTATTTTTGACTATTTTTCACTTGACTCTTTTCCATGAACACTTTAATTTCCCTTTAATTTCAGACAAGATAAAATTTTAAAACAGACTACAGTTAACATTTATTAACACAGTTCCTCTCTGATAAGAGGAGGTACACAGCACTTCCACTGTTTCCATGTTAAAAAAATAAATCAATCAATGAACTACTATTTCTGCTTCATCACCTGAATTCTAGCACCCTCTGCTGCTATATTGCTGAGAAAGATCATTCTCTCAGGCAAGTGAACAGATCTCTTCTTCACTAAGTGTAAAGCTACCTTCAGAATAAAGGACTCCCTCATCAAGATACAGCACAATTCAAACAACATAAATACCCCCATCTGAATGAATTTAAGAAAATATGCATAATACATATTTAATAAAACAGCTCTTCAAGAGAGTTAAGCTTAAACACACATACACACACACAACTTTAAAAATGCCCTCTGCAGCATTAGCACTTGTCATGATTAAGACTGTATGTCAACTTGGCTGGGCCATGACTCTCAGTGTTTATATGTGATCACTCCCATGATGGAATCTGCTTTGAGTAGTCAGTCAGTTGAAAGGGAGTTTCCTTGGGAGTGTGGCCTGCATCTGAATATAAGCAGACATTCTGGCTTTTTTGCTCGCTCTGGATCTTGCCGCTACTTCCTATTCGTCTGACTTCCAGTTGTTGGGACTTGAGCTATCAGCTTATCTGCCGATCTTCAGAATTGTCGATCTTCACAGCCTGTGAGCAAGAGCACTGCTCTCCCACCTGCCGATCTTGGGTTTGCCAGCCTCTGCAGCTATGTAAATCAGGAGAAGCC